GGGGGCGGAGCTTTGCAGAAAGGGGCGTGGTCATAGCTCAAAAGGGGGCGTGGCTTGCAGCAAGGGGGCGGGGCTTAATGGGATTAGGAATTGGGTGGGCGTGGCTCAAACCCATGGGAAGGAATGGCAGCAGGGGTGGGCGTGGCTTAATTAAGGGGCGTGGTTTGGGTAAAAGGGGCGTGGTTTTGGGAAAGGGGCGTGGCTTCACCCCGTTTAGAAGGATGATTGGCAGCTCAACGTGGGTGTGGCCCAAGGAGGTGGGGGTTGTGGGAAAGGGGGCGTGGCTTTGCCAAAAAAAGGGGGCGTGGCTCACCAGAACAGCTCCCGCTCCACGATTGGCTCCTGCCACCACGCCTCAGCCTCACCTGGGGGAGAAAAGGGCGTGGCCAGGTGAGGAAGGGGCGTGGCCAGAAGCGGGCGGGGTCCGAGGGGGCGTGGCCTCACCTGGCAGCAGTGTCACCTGGCGGGGGGCGGAGTCAGCCCAGGTGACCTCCAGGTGGGCGGGGCTCTCGGTGGGCGGGGCAGGGAGGTCACAGAGCTGATGTCACCCGTCAAGGTGTGCCAGGTGAGGTGACCACGCCCACCCCCCAAGCCACGCCCACCCCGGCCCCGCCCTCCTGCCTTTGGTGGGGAGGATACCCAGGTGTGGCTGGGGCGTGGCCGCCCCTCGGCCGAGCGCCACGGCCCGGCCAGGGCGGAGCCGTCCACGGTCGCCTTCAGCTCCGGGCACTCTGGGTTCACCTGTGGGGGGGTAAAGCGCAAAGTTTTGGGGGTTTTCCTACTAAAAATTGGGAATTTGCAGCCCCAAAATTGGAGTTTTTAACAGTGAAGTGTTGAGGACATCAGGTCTACCCATTGGAATGAATGGGGGTTTACAGACACCAGGTCTACCCATTAAAGTCAATGGGGATTTTGGGACACCAGGTCTACCCCATTGAAGTCAATGGGGATTTTGGGACACCAGGTCTACCCCATTAAAGTCAATGGGGATTAATGGACACCAGGTCTACCCCATTAAAGTCAATGGGGGTTTATGGACACCAGGTCTACCCCATTGAAGTCAATGGTGATCTCAGACACCAGGTCTACCCCATTAAAGTCAATGGGGATTTGCGGACACCAGGTCTACCCCATTAAAGTCAATGGGGATTTGCGGACACCAGGTCTACCCNGCGCAAAAGGGGCGGGGCTTGAAAAGGGGGCGGAGCTTTGCAGAAAGGGGCGTGGTCATAGCTCAAAAGGGGGCGTGGCTTGTCACAAAGGGGCGTGGCTTGCAGCAAGGGGGCGGGGCTTAATGGGATTAGGAATTGGGTGGGCGTGGCTCAAACCCATGGGAAGGAATGGCAGCAGGGGTGCGCGTGGCTTAATTAAGGGGCGTGGTTTGGGTAAAAGGGGCGTGGTTTGTGTAAAAGGGGCGTGGCTTCACCCCATTTAGAAGTATGATTGGCAGCTCAATGTGGGTGTGGCCCAAGGAGGTGGGGGTTGAGGGAAAGGGGGCGTGGCTTTGCCAAAAAAGGGGGCGTGGCTCACCAAAACAGCTCCCGCTCCACGATTGGCTCCTGCCACCACGCCTCGGCCTCACCTGGGGGAGAAAAGGGCGTGGCCAGGTGAGGAAGGGGCATGGCCAGAAGCGGGCGGGGTCCGAGGGGGCGTGGCCTCACCTGGCAGCAGCGTCACCTGGCGGGGGGCGGAGTCAGCCCAGGTGACCTCCAGGTGGGCGGGGCTCTCGGTGGGCGGGGCAGGGAGGTGGCAGAGCTGATGTCACCCGTCAAGGTGTGCCAGGTGAGGTGACCACGCCCACCCCCCCAAGCCACGCCCACCACGGCCCCGCCCTCCTGCCTTTGGGGGGGAGGATACCCAGGTGTAGCTGGGGCGTGGCCGCCCCTCGGCCGAGCGCCACGGCCCGGCCAGGGCGGAGCCGTCCACGGTCGCCTTCAGCTCCGGGCACTCCGGGTTCACCTGTGGGGGGGTAAAGCGCAAAGTTTTGGGGGTTTTCCTACTAAAAATCGGGAATTTGCAGCCCCAAAATTGGAGTTTTTAACAGCAAAATATTCAGGACATCAGGTGTACCCATTGGAATGAATGGGGGTGTACGGACACCAGGTCTACCCCATTAAACCCAATGGGGATTTGGGGACACCAGGTCTACCCCATTAAAGTCAATGGGGATTTTGGGACACCAGGTCTACCCATTAAAGTCAATGGGGGTTTACAGACACCAGGTCTACCCATTAAAGTCAATGGGGATTTATGGACACCAGGTCTACCCATTAAACCCAATGGGGATTTGGAGACACCAGGTCTACCCATTAAAGTCAATGGGGATTTTGGGACACCAGGTCTACCCCATTAAAGTCAATGGGGATTT